TCCCAAAGTCCTGGGAGCCATAATCTCAGACCCTAATGCTTTTTTTCTGAATGAGGAAATGGAGGGGGGAAAGGAGGAGTATGCAGGAGAGAAGCTAGGAGGGAACAAAATACCTCCAAGATCCACAAGGTGCCCTTCAACCACACCAAACATATCACTTCTGCTCTCCATGGTCCCAAAGAAGGCGAACCCACCAGGAACATAAAAGTTAAGTGTGCTACTTTTACTGGCAACCAGATGAGACCATCACCTTGGACCCCAATCCCCAGTGGGTTAGACCAATCAATTCTCTCCCTGGCTCTTTGCAACCCACTGTCCGGGCTACTTCTTCCCAATGGGAGCCTCCAACATCAAAGGCCTTGGCTCTAGCCTTGCTGGCTTTTCCATTCCCCCACCCACTGCTGGGTGCCTGCCACCCACTCTGTGTCTTGGCTCTGAAGCCAGCCACCCCGGAACACGGATTTTACTGCCTGGCATCACCAAGGCTTCAGTTTAGTGTTGATGCACATGACTTGTACAACATCAGTTGAGTGTGAGAGTGGACAGGAGAAAGAAAGGGAAAGTGGAGGAGGGGGGATGTAAAATACAGCTGGAGGATAAATGAGAAGAAAATTGTGTGGAAACAGGGGACACTGTTTTGGGGTGGAGGCCAGTGCAAAGCAGCACACATAGACCTGAAGGCAGGAAACCCAGTGAACTAGTGACAGCTGGGGAATCAGGGCAGGGGTGAGACGAGGCTCAGGCGCCAGGGAGCAGCTATCTCAGTTTAGCAAACATCTTAAGAAGCCAAAGGCCTGGAGGGGACAGCAACCAGTGGAGGTATGTGACAGAACCTGACCAGAGGCCAAATTCCAGCTGTGGATCTGGACAATCTCCTTGGTGCTATCTTCAGAGGGTGAAGCCGGGGGAGGGGACGGGAATCAGGCCCTGGAGCTGTGTGTCCCCCCCCCCTCCCCCAACACCGTGGGGTGATCTAGGGACCCCAGCCTCCAGCTGCACCAGCCTGGCAGAGTACAGACCTGCCGTGCCCACCAGAAGGCTCTGCCAGGGAGGGGAGCCAACTGTGTGGTGGGAGTGGAAATGGGTAGGACTCTAGAAAACATGTCACTACATCTTGGCTCTTCACAGATCCTAGACGGGATGACTTGGCCTTTACCAACTTCATCTCCACCATCTACCACCAGGCAAAACCAACCCCTTCCTGACTCAGACAGACACCCCCCCTCGGGTTCAGTACAGCCAGCTGGTAGTAGGTTCAGTAGCTACCCAGCTGGTTTCTGGGATTGGTGGCATTCGGGTGTGATGTCCGAAAAGAGGGAGTGAGTGGAACTAGCCCAGGACAGGAGAGAGTTCCCACACAGTCCCAGGCCCTTGACCGGATGCCCTGGGGAGCATCAGTTCTGACCAGGTGTCTGCACCTGGTTTCCTTGTCTGCTAAGTCACATACTGCCTTCTCAAGGCCACCACCAAGTGCTGGTGATGCTGGCAAGGCTGGTGATGTTTGCTCGGACATGCCTCCCCTTCTCAGAGTCTTTCCTTTTACTTGAAGTCCATTCTTAAGATCCAAGACCAGAGCCATCCTCACTGGGGGTTTCTGAGCCAGGCAGGTACCCATCCCTGCAAGACCTAATCAGGGAGCAGCTGGAGGGGAGGAGGCTTATAAAAGCCTTACGTGAGTTTTCACATTGGTCCTGCAAGGCTTTCAGAGATGAGAAGTACAGTCTAGTCATCAGAGTGGTGGGCTTTAATGCAACTTAAAATTCACCTCTGCTCTCCACAAGTCCCCTGATGACTCAGGGTCGTGCTGTTAACCTTTTTCAGAAAGAACTTTCAACTTAGGGGCAGGTTTGGGGCACCTTTCCAACCTGCTAATCAGATGAGGACTCTTCTGTCCCGATTTTGCTATTTCTCCAAAGAGAAATCTCTAGTCTGAGGGATTTAATGTGATCCGATATTTGAATCATTTAAGTCTTTTGAGACCTGTCGTTGAGAACTCTGTAAAGGATGGACATCATTCAGCTGGAAATGTGATCAGAAATGCTTCGTTGTGCAAAGGAAGGTTTCCTTTTTAGCGCCTTCCTTCAGATGTTCTCATTCTTTCCTCAGACTGAATTGAAGCCACCGGAACAAATATCCTCTCCCCTGCCCCCAGGTGGCGAGGATAGCTCTGGAGGTCTGTGGAGGGTGAGTGCACAGAAGTTATTTCCAAGGCGGTGATTACGTGGGACTTTGGGAAGGCTGACACTTGAAGACTTGTGGGCGTCCCTGACAGTCCCTGCCCCTCAGGGTGGCAGGACCTCTGAGCCCACTGGAACCGCTCAGCAAAGGCAGCACGCGGAGTACTGCTCTCTGCTCCAGGTGGGGGTTGTCTGGGGGGAGGGGCAGGAAGAAGAGCATAGGTCCCTTAGCTCCAGGGGGAGATGAAGTCCCTCCTGGCCCCAGCTGGTTTCAACCCCTGACCTAGGGAAGTACTCCTATTGCCGGTACCTGAGGGCCCCTTCACACCTGTGCTCACAGGAGCACCTGCACTCCTGGCCAGGGACAGCGGTGTGGGGATCCCTGTCACATGCTTGGCCTCTTGGTTCCTCCCTTCCTTGTCTCCCACCCCTCAGGCCTGCACAAAGCTCACACCTGCCCCACACCTCTCCCTCACTCTGGGAGGCCAGAGACTGCTCCAGGGTCACTCCTCCCCAGTCTGCACTTTCCCTTGGCTCAGAGCTCAGACCAGAGGGTGGAAGCCCCAGTGAGGAACCCGTTTTGTTGGGGCTTTTTGGGGACCAGCGCTTCTCAGCCTCCTGAAATCTCAGGGCATTCTCCTCCGCTGGATTTGCACATTGTTCCCATATGTTCTATGCCAGAGAGAGACTCTCCTCCGTGAATCCACACCTACCCCCACATTTTCCGGCGTATAAGATGACCCCCTAATTTTACAGTTAAAATATAGGTTTAGGCCTATATTCACTGTATAAGACTCCCCCCAACTTCCGAGGCAACACCTCAGAAGTTCTTTTTTTTTTAATAGACCGCCTCTCTGACTCTGGCCAATCTGAGCAGGCTTTTTACTAGAACACAGTGTTGTCTTATATGCCGGAAAATACGGTAAAGACTTCCTGGTGCTTTTTATCATACAAGACCTTCCTAGCTGCTTGCTTCCATGTGGCCTCTTAGCAAAAATGTGGCCTCGCAGCAAGACCTGCTGTCTGCCTCTGCTGTCTCAGGCCCTCTCCCCTCTCCCCTTGTTGATGGTCCCTGTGGGCTTGCCCTGTCCTCTCTGCCCTCCATGCTACAAGAAGGGGATGCTCCTCCAGCCCTGCCCCAGCCCTACGAAAGCTTAGCTTAAAATCGTTTTGCTGACCTGAAGTTCAAATTGAGGCATAACTCATTTTGTAGACCTGTGCAGGCTGATCAGTCCTTGATCTTGTACTGGGTTCCTCCTGTGTGTCAGGCCTGGATGCTTTATTTAGCTCTACTTGCCAATTTCATTTGGGTTGGTTAACTTAGACGAAGCCTAAATTAGCATGTCATCCTCAGACCAAGACTCTAGGTCCTCCTCCTGTGCCTGGCCCCCCGGTTCTTATTTCCTCTCATTTGTCAGGGTCAAGGCCACCTGCACAGACCCTGGGCAGGGAAGGCAGCCTTTGGCAACCTGGCATGCACAGCTGGCCCCAGAGCTATGGGGGAGAGGGGCAGGGGTGGGAATGATGTTAACTAGGAAGGGAAGTGAATCTACATCTAGCCTGTTCCCAGCTGTGTGCTAGCCAGTGAAAAATCATGAAACCAAAGGAGAAGGCAAATGAAGAATGGCAACGGGACTGAGTGTCGAGAGACCGTCAACCCGCCATGCTCTGACTCTGGCGTCTGGCTAAGGCCTGGACCATGCCCTGATTCTGAGAGTTACCCCATCTGCACTAAAGTAACATTTCTGAGAAGCACAGCAGTATCAGTAATCATTCCTCAGAAAACCTTCTGGACTATAATGGAACACTCTCCAATGATTTCACAGAGCACAGTAGGCTCATCTGTGTAGTTGGCAGTGAGGAAGGAGGGGTCATCTGACAATGTGGGGTGACAGGACTGATTGGGGCTTCAGCCCAGTAAATTCCTATATTACACACCTTTCTTCACTCTCAGTACACAAGTCAGCTGGCTACCCATATTTTCAGCCTCATCATGCTAAAAGCCAACAGAATGAAGATAATACTCCCCCCCCAAACATATGTGCACACACACGTTCTTACTAACTTTAAGGAGAGCAGTGCCAACGTTGTCCCCTTCCAGCAGGAGGTCACTGCCAGGACTGGTCTTGGCTCTGCTTCAAGCCCAGATTCACTAGTTTCCAACTCTGAGTTCAAACACCCTTCACTGACCGCCCCCGGCCCTCCTCCACCCCCTACCACTGGCACCACCCTCATAGGCCTAAGAACCTGGACAGAAGTGTGTGCTGAGGCTGGAGTGAAGTTGGAAGGGAGATGGGACAGAGGGGACAGGTGATCTCTGATGTGGCCTCAGGAATGGCCTCGTGCAGATCTGGCCCCTTAGGGGACAGTCCCCAGTGTCAGTCACTGAGTCACAACTTCATGCTCTGTGCTAGTTCCACATAATGCCTGTGACTATTATTTAGTTAATGTTTTCCTTTAAGTGGACTCACTGAAAAAAAAAAAAAACACCTGTTTATTTATTAAACAAACAAACAAACAAACAAAAAAACCTCTCACTACCACTCATGGAGAGCTAGTACCATTTGCAACTTCTGATCAAAATAAGTACGGAAATCTCTATTAAAGTAAAAAAAAATGTTCTTCTGCGTCCCATATCAATCCTCATCCTGATGATGGCTGCAGGTTGCACATTTGCCACAGTAAACCCTTAGGGCGGCAGAAGTGTTCTCTTAGGGAGCGTCTTGGCTCCCTCGTGCCTTGTCATTTAGGTTATGAGATGTGCCCAGACCATCATCTTCCCTCCGGAGGGTACCCAGGCCCAGCCTTTGGGGCCCTACTTACAATTCGAGGTTTGAAGGGCGGCTTGATCTTCTTCTGCTCCAGGAGCACCCAGTCGATCTCCTTGAAGAACGGGTGCTGCTTGATGGCGTCCTCGCCATTCTGTGCTGCCACACAGCCCAGGCGCTTGTGGGGGTTCTTGGTCATGAACTGCAGGGAGGAGGACACTGAGTGAGTGACAAAAGCCCGACAGGCACAGGCTGCGAGGGAAAGACGGAACTCAGTGGAGGCAACATCGTCAGCATCACCTCCCCAGCCTGTCTTCCGCGCTGTTAGGGCCTTCGCCCTTCAGGGTCCTTGTGAACTCACATACAACTTACTTCTTGCCAACCACCATTCTAAACACTGAGTGAGTGTGTGTGTGTGTGTGTGTGTGTGTGTGTGTGTAAATTCATTTCAGCCAAATGCAACCCTCTGAGCTACTATTATTATCCTTACTCTATAAGTGAGGTAGTTGAGGCACAGAGAGGTTAATTAATTTGGCCAAGGTCGAATAGCCAGCAAGGTACCAAGTTGGGATTAGAAGCTCGGGCTCTTACTAACTCCCTCAGATTCTCACGTCTTCTCCTCGGGGAGACCGAGGTCTGATAAACCCATTTCCAGTGAGAGTCAATAGTCCTTTCTGAAGTGTGAAAAGAGGAGCAGATGTTCACATTAAGGTAAATTATCAAAGGCTCCCCTGGCCCTTTTCTTTTTCTGGACCTGGACCCTCCCATTTTTTAAAGATTTGAATTTGAATCTCTAGCACAGAACATGCATGTGGATCAAAAGACAAAAACAAACAAACAAAACACAAACCCACAAAACAAACAAACACCCCCACCCAAAACAGAAACAAAAAGGCATATTGCTTCTCAATGCTTGTCCATAAAAACCACACTGATGGGTTTTACATTTTTTTGGCTGATGTCTTAGGTTCCTCCCTCCCCTCACCCCTACCCCTGCCCCCCACACACTCAGGAGATCGTATTCCTATGAAATGAGTCAGTCCTGATGGCAAATATTAATTTAATTGAGCAGATACATTAATATCTGCTGGCCTTCCCACGAGTAACAATATAATCTTGAAAAAAAAAATGAGTGCTAGTAAGTGGAAAAACTTCTGACAGCCACCCAAAATAAAGGTAGGGATATGTGTATGTGCATGTGGAGAGACAATTACAATTCATAGGGTGAAGGCTGAGTCTGGATTTAAGAGGACAAACTATGAATCCAAGGACAAAATCTATAATAGAGGAATTCCAGGCTTCATCAGCAAGAAAGACTGGGAGAGCCTCCTGCTATCTCTTGCCCGGTGCCCCTGAAACCAAAGCACATGGGCACAGACCAAACACTACTGGCGGGGCCAGAGCCATGGCTAAGAAAGTTAAGGGGTGATGGGCAGATGTGCGTTAGGAATGGTACCATCACACTTCATCTTTCTAACCAAAGTCAGCAGAGGCCACACCCCTAACAGAAACTTGTTGGTTTCAACTCAGTCTATCTTGCTAGCCTTTTGCATCCTTTTCCCCTGGGTCAAAGGCCCTTCTTCAGGGCCTATGCAAGCTCTAAGAGCCAGTCAATATGCTGCCTCCTTTGTGAAGCCTCCCCAGATTCCCCCCCCTCTGTGGAGACCTGGGACTTCATGTTTCTCATCTACTTAAATCATAATTTGTGTAAACATCTCCTTCCCTTGGTAAGCTCTATGATACAGGAACCAGTCCCATGCTTCCAGTGCCTGGCCCCTCTTGTGCACTCACTGCACTGAAATGACTCAACTGGGGGCTGCAGGCCGGGCCTTGGCACAATGGTGAGGGAGGAAAGCAGCAGGACCGGCATGTTACTGCTGCCCAGGGCTTGATGTGTATACCTCTATGATGCAATGGCCTTCACTAGGTTCTGAGCTACCTTCACATAGGCAGCGGCCCTCAGACCCAACTCCGTGGCCAGAGTCATGGAAAATCTGGCCTGGCCCTAGACCCAAGAGATAATGTGAGGAAGTGAAGTGATCCAAGGTCAAGGGAGGGGAAGACGGCTCCTCACTTCCTCTGAGCTTCCTGTCCTCCCATTCCGAGAGGGGTCGAATCGAGGATCCAGGCTATGGAAAAGCCGCCCCTGAGCCAGAGGCTCTTCTCTCGAGGGCGGTGCCTTCACCCTCACCAACTGGCGGCACAGGCATGAGCTCGAGCTTCTGAATGTCTGTAGGTCAAAGTTTCCAACCTCCATGCTGACATTTGGGACCGGATACTTCTTTGTCATGGGGCCCTCCTCTGTATTGTAGGATGTTCAGCTGCACACCTGGCCTGGACTCATGAGTGCCAGTAGCATCCCCTGCTCCAAGCTGTGACAACTAAAAATATCTCCAGACACCCACATGGCTCTGGGTCATCCAAATGAAAGGGTCAGCTGGGGTGCTGGCCGGGAGGCGGAGACAGGTGTGCTGGGCTGGTGTTCAGAGCCTGGGGTGAGGGACCAGCTCTGCAGGGCTGGTGTCCTGGCTGCCTTGGGTTTTGCTTAGCCAGCACCTGGCATAGGGCCTGCCACATACGAGATGCTCAGTAAGTATGTGCTGAATACACGAACGAGTGAATACACGTGTTCTATTTGCTTTCATCGATCTTATCCCATGAATGGATGAACTTTCTCTTTATTGCCCACTTCTCCCGTGGGGCTGCAAGCTCTACTGGAAGGGCTGATGGCTGTTAGATTCACCAATAAGCACTTAACCTCTAGCACAACGCCCGGCACATTGGAGCCTTCCACAAAGGCCTTGTTCAATATTAGCTGAATGAAGTAATGGAAGGGAAAGAGTGAGGGAGAGAAAGGTGGGAAGAAAAAGAATGAGGTGAGGGACAGAGGAAGGGAAAAAAAACCAGCGACAGCAAAAAGTATCCTGCTCTGATGTGACATTTTCCTAAATATGAAATGTTTCCCCCCAGACACCTGCAAAATAATTTGAGATCTTTTTGACATTTTCATATGATGAATAATGTTAACTAGTTATGGCAAATGATACTGATTTTCCATGTATGATCAGGATATAATTTTTTTGGTAAAATACATATAACTAGGTAAATAATGGGAGATGACTAAAAGAATAAGAATAGCATGGTAAAGAGGGTACTTGGATGTGGCAAATTTTGCGACTGTGGAATGCCAACTATTGAACTCTGGGGCATTCTGATGGACAAAAGAAGCCAGCGCTGACATCCCAGTTCCTGGGCTGTTGCCATGGTCCTGCCTCAGCCCAGGGGAAGGAAACTGGCCTGCTTAGCATCCCTGCTCCTCAGCTTCCATGGCTTTCCCAGGGCGGTAGGGAATCCCTTATTTGCCTCAGTACAAGTGTCTTAGGTGTAGAAATGGCTGCCCTGAGCAAGTACTAAGTGTTTTCAAATGTGAGCGATTATCTATAGAGGCGGGGACTGTCCCTCTGCTACATGTCTGAATCCAGTGTGGTTGCATAGAGCTTGAGTGGACACTTCTTTTCCGACCAATTCCTTAGCACAGCAATGCCGTCATGGACATAGGTGCCCAGGGCTCTCCCACCCTCCCTCTTTTTCCCTTCCCTCCCTCCCCTCCTTTTCCCTCGTCCCCATCACAGGCCACAATAGCAGGTATGGAAGGAGGGTTCAGCCAGGAGCCTAAGCAGCAGGGGTGATCCCAGAGCAAACTGAGTTGGTTTCGCTCCATTGAAACACTCACTGGAGGACATTGAGGGGCACAGAGCCCCCACCCCCAGGAAACACACACACACACACACACACACACACACACACACACACTGTCCTTTCCACAAGCAGAGCAATTGGTCCTGGGCTGGGCCATTCTCTCAGCAGCAGCCTCCGGAACAGGGCCTGGCCTCCCAGTGGTGGTGGCCCTCAACGCCTTCCTCTTGGGGGAAGCAGAGGTGGGGCCCAGAGAGACAGGCGGAGGAAGGAGGGACGGGGAGGAGGGGGGCGTGTGCAGGGAGGGAGGAGAGAGGGGCACAGTGAGAAGAAATGGAGATGGTGGGAAGGCCAGGGGAGTAGGAACAGGTGCAGGGCGAACACTCACAGCTTTCAGGATGCTGACGGCCTCCTTGCTGAGCCAGACAGGGTAGAGCACGTCATCGTGGAGGATGGACTCAAACAGGTCGTCCTCGTTGTCGGCCTCGAAGGGGGGCTGCCCAGCCATCATCTCGTACATCAGCACCCCCAGCGCCCACCAGTCCACAGAGGGGCCGTACTCCAACTCCTGCAGGATCTGATCAGGAGACGGACGGCGTCAGAGCCCAGCAGAGATGCCCGCCTGCAGCCACGCCTGTGCCACAAGTGCCCCTGGGCAGAGTGGAACCCCCATTTCCAGTTTGCCCCTCCACAGAGCAGAGCCTCAAGTCACGTTACATCAGCAAATTCAGTGACAATTGAGTTTGGGAGGCACTCTATTGGGAGTCAACCATCAGCTTTCCAAGGTCAATTCCTCCAGGCTGTCCTCCAGTGGGGACACTTCTCTGGTTCTTTGAGCCCCAGATGAAGTTCCTGGCTGGTGTTTATAGCCAAGTTTTTAAAAACAAAAAACAAAAAAAACAACAACATATTTTTTTATATTAAAATCAGGGTCAGAGGAGCAAGATGCAGACTAAGCAAGCTGTAAGTGACTGCATGTAGGGAGTCCAGGTCTCCTGCCTCACGCTCAGCCCAGGCATGGCTCACGGAGTGAAAGGTGAGCAGAATCTTAGTCTCCTTTAAACGGCCTCGATGTTGAACTTACCTGAGCCCTGTGCTCTTGGAAAGGAAATTACAGTCTGTCTCCTGACTCTTCTGTGTTCTAGTCATAAAGGACTGCTTTGCTCTTGCATATTCCAAAAAAAGAATCTCCAATGTCCTCATCACTCCCACAACACGTGCTGATGAACCCATATTTTACCTGCCTCTAGAAAGCCCCAGGCCCCCTTCATTTTATTTGAGGTGCCCCACATAGCAAAGGCCATGTCTCATGGCCTCCCAGGACACCTCAGACAGGTAATTTCCGATAACTCGTTCCAGGACATAACTCCAGCTCAGTCCTCAGATTTCAAGACAGCCAGGGGAGAGGAGGCTAAACCCCAATATATGGGCTTTCTGTGGTCAACTCCAAACCCCCTCTAGAGATAACAGGTGGTTTAGGATTAAGTAAGACGACCTGGATTTTGAAAAGAGTAAAACCAAGTTCTAGAAATCTTTTAAATTTAAAGGGAAAGGAATATAAGCAAATACAGTCAACGCTACATGATTTGGGGCTGGCAATGTGTTTGGTGATTACCTTTGGTATCTGAGCCCAGGGGTTAGCACATCGTATCTGTTAGAGATCAGAGTTACAGGCATCACTAGCCTGAGGAACCAGTAATGCTGCTCCATGCCAAAGCCAAAGCCAAAGCCAAAGCCAAAGCCAAAGCCCAAACCAGTGCCTTTCCCAACCTTGAAAAATGCAGGGTCCTAACCTGCCTTACTATAGGATCGCCAGTTTCCATCCTTCAAAACATCTTTTGAGTCTCACCATCATCTCCTCCAGAAATCTTTCTCGAGTCTCCCTTTTTTCTCCTTCCCTAAGACCCTTACCTGCCTGTAAGATTTGCCTGTCTGTAATATGTGGGATCTCCCATATATTACCATGATTTTAGTTATTTTTTCATGGTCATCTGTCTCCCTAGGACATCTATATATAAGCAGGTGGGAGGCTCTAGAATTCTTTTGAGATCAGCTCAGTTCCAACACTCAGAAGACTGGCTTTCACATGTGCCCACTGTGTGTGCCTTACTGGGCACTCCTTTCTCCCCTTGACTCAGGGGACTCTGAATGCTAAGGAAGCCACTTTCCAGCCTCCAGGAGGTGGCTCTACTGAGTTCTAAGCCCCAGCAGGGAGATGGGCAGTGGCCGCCAGGTGGCCTGTGTATGCTCAGATAGGATGGCGCTGTGGGAACCACAAAGTGGGACCTGCCCATCCTTCCCCAAGCCTCTTCCAGAGCCTTCCCATTTGGGTGGCATCTTTTGTAAAATTCTTTTTAGGCTTGGCCCTAATTATCTGTGATGAAGCTGGTGAAAAGGACAAGACTTTGCACGCCATGGGAGGGCACTCAGTGCGGCAGCCAATCCCTGGAGTGGGTCAGAGCTGGGGTAGAAGAGAAGGGCAGGCATTAGGTCTGATGACATCAAGCATTACGCAGGGCTGGCCGCCATCCCTGGGGCGTGGGGGCTGGGCGTGGAGAAGAAGAGGGGTGTGATGGGGGTTAGTTAAGGGCACATGGTGGGAAGAGAAGCCCTGGGGCAGAGCTAGTGCCTCAGAAGGTGTCTCTGATTTCAGATAAGCCTTTGAATAGAGGCTTATGATTTCTGAAGCATGTTCATGCTCCATGCTTTAATCTCATTAGATTCTCAAACTGGCTTGATGAGGTGAGTAAGGCAGAAATTGTTATTCCCATTTGAAAGATGAAGACCCAAGGGTCAAGACATTCTGTGACTTGATCAAGGTCACATGAGGGCATTAGTGGTCAAATCTGGCCTGGGATCTCAACTCTCAAATCTGTGCTTTGCCCACCTGAGCGCACAACCCAGCGGCAGAGGCCATGGAGCCCCATTATTACCCAGTGCCTGCTGTGCCAAGTGCATTAGAGGCATACTTCCACGGAACCTTCCCCGCAGCCCTTGCTGAAGGAAGCAGCATCTTTATCAGCTGTAACTTGACCACATAAGACCAAGGACTATTAGCCACCTCATAGGTAGCGGTGATTCTGCAGAGTGGGCACAAGTATAGATGGGAAAGAGGAGTGTCTGAGCCTCTTAAATCAGAGTTGTTCATTGTGAATCTCACCAATGGAGTGTCTTTCATGAAAGTTGTGTGGGGGTTTTGTTCAACAGAAAGTGAATGGTTGCCTTGGGCTGAGTCCTTAGCAATACACTAGGCTGTCAACCCTTTGACTCTGGCATCCAGTCAGAGGGACTGGAACCAAGCATTCTGATGATAAAGGATGAATGAGGAAGATACTGAAGAGTGGGTCCCAGTGGAGAGCTGTGGCTTTCACTGATTTCTCCTTGAAGGTTATATTCCTAGTATTCCTGCTAGGGGAACACACTAGCAGAGACTGACTGAAATCTCTATTCTTCCAATCTCTTAAAAGATAAACATTTTAATGAGAACTTACCTATTACTTGATGCTTACTTCCCAGATCCTCCCCAGGCAGTTTCTCAACTGTCCTTCCCTCTCACTCTGCCCTCTGATCCAGGTGGCTGATGCCCATCTACTTCCTGGGATAGGTCTGATTATGACCTTTCTACACTGGGAAGCCCTTAATGGGTCCACAGGTCCTACAGGATAAAGACCATCTTCTTTGGTCTTTTATTCTAATCTCATTCATTGCTAAGAGCACTAAGAAATCCTGTTATAGCTATACTGCTTTCCTTTCTTTAAAAAGGCCAAGAATGTTCTTATCCCTTCATCTTTGCTCATGTTGGATTGTCCCAAGTTCTCATTCATATAGTCACTCAACAAACCATTACTAAGAGCCAGATTTGTGGGCTGAATCCGGGAAGTACCCAGATTAGAAACAAAGCTGCCCTAAAGGATTCATAGCTCAGGGATGCTGAACCTCCCCACCTGCCCACCCCCACTCAACCCTCCCTATTGTTTTCAGGAATGTTCCCCACCCCCACCACCAAAGGAAATCCTGCTAATTCTTTGCAACTCAAATCATTCACCAGGTGCTCCAGAAAGCCTGCCCTGATCCCTGAGGATACCATCTTGAGTTTATTGTACCAACTGGTTCTACTTAATTAGTTGTTTACTTACCTGCCACTCCCTCTAGACCAAAAGTTCTTTTGGAAGTGACCATTGTCTATGTAAATTATTTCTCCCCACACTGCTTTGTGTCTAGCAGGTGCTCAAACAATGCCCACTGAAAGGAAAAGAAGTCTTAAGTGTTCTAACACACCTATCCACCACTGGCAATGCTTCCCATCTTCCATGTGTCACAACCCTCAAGAACTTTTTTATTAAGTATGTGTGATAGGCTATGTCTTAAATCTGAATCATATCACACTAGCTATTACTCAGTTGGGCAAGCTTGATCCGGAGAAACTCAAGGCAAACACTGTATGATGAATAAGATATCTAAACAACTTTCACAAAAGGCATCCCATTGGTGAGGCTCAACATGAACATCTCTGATCTCCATTATAACGAGGCAGTTAATCTCTTTCTCTTCCTTCTCCTCCTCCATCTCCTCCTCCTCCTTCCTGATCCTGTGTGCTTCCTATGTAGAATCACCATTACACTAGAAATGACAAATCACTCCTGGTTTTCCTGTAGGCAAATTATAGCTGATTAAGTTCATTACGCCTTTATCAATGGTGCTCCTTTATTCTGCTTAGAAGTAAAAACCACAATACATGTCAACAAATGTCTCTTGGTCCTAGCTCCACTGATAGTTCCGTACTGGAATAAAAGAGAAACATGTAGGAGGACCTGCTCAGAGTTGGAGAATTATCTGTTACTTTCTGCTCCCCCATCACCACCCCCACGTCTTTAAGGAGAAATCAGCAAGCCTTTTCTTCGTCTTCCCTGGAATCCATCCTGGTTCTCTACAGCCTTCGCCCAGCACCACCAGGTGACCCGGTCCATGGGGCTGAAGCCCTGGCTCAGTGGTGGCAGCAGGAGGAGGTGGCCCTTGCACAGGCTCTTACCTCGGGAGCGATGTAGTCAGGAGTCCCGCAGAACGTGGTCGTCGTCACACCATTCAGAATCCCTTCCTTGCACATCCCGAAGTCAGCCAGCTTGCAGTGACCTTCTGCATCCAGAAGGATGTTGTCCAGTTTCAAATCTCTGCAAGATGGGCCAGAACCACATGGTTAATGCTGCACTCATCCCAATGCAGTCTTCTTGAGTTGGAGAGAGGCACACATCTCAGGGAAATCTGCTACAGGAAGGAACTGTTCTCCCCAACAAGATGGAGAAGCTTCTGCAACCTGAGGACTGCTGAGCTGTAATACAGTTATTAGCTATTAACTAACTCTTAAAAGTATGTGCTGGCCAAAATCAGTTTGGCTCAGTGGATAGAGCGTCAGCCTCCAGACTGAAAGGTCCTGGGTTTGATTCTAGTACCTTAGTTTTGGGCACATCCCCAGTAGGGGGTGTACAAGAGGCAGCTGATCGATGATTCTCTCTCATCGATGTTTCTAACTCTCTATCCTCTCTCTCCTCTCTGTAAAAAATTAATTATATATATATATTTTAAAAGTATATGCTGAAATTCATATTATTTAGACCTTGATATGCCCCTACCCCTGTGAATTAACCATGCAGATCACCTAAAAGAACAAGACTGACACATGTGAACATTAATGAGTCAGATAAAACCACAGAAGAATCAGGTGATACTTTACAGAGCATCAGCTGTGTGGGCTGTTGAATTGCCGGGGGAGGCCAGGGATGGCTGGTGCAGGCAGATGGCTTCCGGGAAGCAGTGACTCTTAAGAGGAGCTTGGATAGATGGGAAGGTTTTGAAAGAGAAAAGGTGGGAGGGAGGGGAAGGTCAACACAGTAGATGCAAAAGGTAGTGAAGAGACCAGTGAAGTGGGTCCCAGTGAATGGTGAGGCCAGACGGGCAATGTTCAAACCATCCATGAAGAGCCTCCAGCGCAGGAAGAGGGGTTGGAAGCTCACACTAATGGCAATGGGAGCCCTGCCTGCATGTGCACTGGGTACTTGCAAGATCAGTCTTTCAGGAGCAAGCAAGCTGATTGGGGGGAGGGTCTGGGCATGACAGAAGACACTGGTTGCAACAACCAGGACCTCCAGAGCCCAGGTGGTTCTGTGCATGAGTGAGACTCTGGTGGCAGCTGGATCAACCGGTGCAGCTGCCTCATAATACAGTTATTAGCTATTAACTAGCGCTGTAATAGTTATTAGCTATTAACTAGCTATTAATAGCATGTGCTGAAATTCATATTATTATGTGAATCTGTAAGATCTTGTATAAAATCAGGGGTTTTGGGTAAGAATTCCCTACTAAGCAAGTCTGCAAACCCCAGACCTATCCCACAGAAGGACTTAGACTCCTGAATTGAGGTTCTCCCCCTACCCTGGGACTTCCTCAGGAGCCACTCTGGGGTGGGGCTGGGGGGGTCTTACAAAGAAGGCCCAGTCTCCTGCACACAGACCAAGAGGGGCCTTCCTCCCAAGCCTACTGGCATCTGGACTTGAACTACCACCCCCACCTCCCCCCAAGGAATCCAGGCCCAAGTGCAAAGATGGGGCAGGAAGCACTGGGGCCTGCCTGTCTTGCACCCATGGCCCCATTTCCACTTACAGTTGGGATTCTTGAGAAAAGAGAACTAAGATGTGCTGCTCTAAGCAGATGTTCATGCACTGCAGGAGGAACAGTGAGCCCAACCAGCCCAATCCCCGAGGCTGGAGTCCCCAACCCCCCTGGCCACTGACTGTGGTCAGGGCTTAGCTTTGGCTGGGGGTGGAGAGCAGTGACATGAATACCAGCTTGGCTCCGGTATTCTGAGGTTTAATCACTGTTGTGGCCTGGACCTGGCAAAGTCACCTTGATGCTCTGTTACCTTATCTGCCAATTCAGACCAGATACATTCCTGCTCCTAGGCCTGTGCAAAGTAGCCGGTCTTCAATACTGTTATTCTCAATTCCTTCATGAGGAATCTGAGAGGGAACCAGATGTCCTGTCTGCCCGCCCACAAATGCTGGAGTTCTTGAAGGTGGACATCGGCCCAGTTACCACCCTTTCATGCTCTCTAATCTAGAGTTGGCTTTCCAAGACCCAAGCACAGGCATAATGACCATCAAGGCAACACCCACTGTAATAGTGACAATAAAAACATGGGGGAAGCACCATGGTCTACAAACTATACTAAACAGCACTGAGAATTAGGGAGAGCACATTCAGTTATTATAACTTTGGCAGAAACAAGTAAATAGAAGGCAGAAGAAGGCAAGTGGTTTCTGTAAAACAGGTCCCCAGCTCCGGAAGCTGCTCTCGCCTCTGTGTGCCATACTCCTTTCAATGCCAGTCACCAGCCCCAGCCCCAGCCTTTTTTTTTTTTTTAATCCTCACCTGAATATATGCTTAGAGAGGAGAGAGAGAGAGAGAGAGAGAGAGAGAGAGAGAGAGAGAGAGAGAGAGAGAGAGAGAGAGAGAGAGAACATCCATTGGTTTCCTTCCATACACACCTGACTGGGATTGAACCCACAACCCAGGTATGTGTCCTGACCGGGAAAAGAACCGGCAACCTTCCACTGCACAGAATGATGCTCAACCAACAAAATCACTCTGGCCCGGGAGCCCTAACTTTTTAAGGACCCCGCTTGCCTCCACTTACAGCACTCTCCTTTAAAGCCTTTGTTATGTCATAGAAAGGACTACTAGTAGTTCTAATTGGTATGAATAGAATAGATTCAGAAGATTCCATACCAGCCTGAACCTAGCCCTTGATCTGAAAACTGAGACTCAGCCTTTCCTTCTGCTAGGGCTCCTACTCAGGGGAAAAGAAGGTGGGTTGTCTTCCTTCTCCCCACCTCCTGCTCCTCCCCTGCTCTGGGCCAGGTGCACTCCTCTGCTTTCAGTGCTGCCTCCTCACTAGAGGTAGATGGCTCCTTGGGACAGAAGTTTCCCAGCCTTGCCTGCTCAGAGGCCCAGCTTGCAGGGCAGGGTAAGTGGGCTTGTCTCCTTCCTGTGAGTTCCCACAGGTACTCATCAAACTTGTTCACTGGCAGCTTTGCAAAGAAGGCCTTCTGCTTCGATATGAGTTCCTATCCACTCGGTTCTCAAATACAAGGCAGGGACTTTTGAGGACTGGGGACATTTCTAAGGAATGGGTCATTTCTTTAATAGTGGATGGAAATGCAGCAAAATCCCTTTCCCTCTATATTAGCCAATGTGACTAGCCTTTGCTTATTAGGCTTATCTACTAATAGTTTCATGTACTTTCTTGAATAGGTAATTCAGTCATAAAATCCAAAGTATAAAAGGGCATATGGTATATACTCTCCCTCCTGCATCTGTTCCTCAAACAATCCTTTTTCCCCCTGAAGGCAACTGCTTTTTATTTAATCTCCGTGTATCTTCTTGTTCACTTTATACATGAATGAGAAAATGTGAATATATATCCTGCATACCCTGGAGATATTGCGGGTTCCAGATCACAATAAATGAGTATCACAATACAGTAAGTCACCCACATTTTTTTGGTTTCCCAGTGAATATAAAAGTTATACTGACACTTCCCTGCAGTCTAAGTGTGCAATAGCATTACGTCTAAAAAATGTACTTTCCTTGATTAAAAAAAAATACTTTATTACTAAAAATGCTAACCATCCTCTGAAGCTTCAAGTCATAATCTTTCTGCTGTTGGAGGGTCTTGCCCAAGTAACAGCAAAGATTACTGATCCCAGATCAAATAACAAATATAATAAGAAAGTTAGGAATATTATGAGAGTTACCAAAATGTGAAACAGACACGAAGTGAGCAGATGATGTTGGGAAAAGGGCACAAATAGACTTGTTCAACACAGGTTTGCCACAGACTTCAATAGGCACAATATTTATGAAGTATAATAAAATGAGATATGCCAATATTTATTTACTCCCTTACAGCTAAATGGAGCTTACCATATGCACAACTTCATACCTTAACTTTTTCACTTAATATACAGTAGAGATCTTTCTGTCCTGGCACATAAAGAGTCTCCTAATTCTTCTTTATGGCTGCATAATACTCCATCATATTTACTGGGGGACTTTTAGGATGATTCTAATACTGTACTATTACAAACAGGGCACAGTGAATGAGCTTGTATATGATAGCTTGCAAAGCTATGAAGGTACACCTTTCCTAGAAAAGGTAATTGTACACATTTCCTAGAAAAGACATTCCTGAAACTGATAGGACAAGAATGGATTTCCATGAGTGTTGCCAAACTACCTTCCTTAGAGGTTGAACAATTCACTCTTCCATCAGCAGTATATCATAGTGCTTGCCAATATGGTTACCAAGTTTCTGACAGTCTGATAATATCTTAGTATGTGCTTAAGTTTCTCTGTAAGTCTGAGCATTTTTCATATATTTTAAAGTGATCTGTATTTTCTTCTGTATACTGTCTACTGCCCATTTTCCTTTTGTGGTGTTTGGGTTGTATTGATTTTTTGGAGCTCTTTCTATATGTTAGGGACAAACTTGGTATTTTGTCCTAGTTTATTGTTTTTGACATTTACTTTCTTTTTACTGATGAGAGAGAGAAGCATTAATACTTATTTATGCATTCATTGGTTGACTGTGTGCTTAGCCTGACCAGGGACTGAACCCTTCACCTTGGTGCATCGGGCTGATGCTCTAACCAACTAAGCTACTCTGCCACAGCAACATGTACTTTTGACTTTGCTTACAGTGGTTTTTGCCATGTTGATATTATTTACTCTTATGTAATTGAGTTGATGTTTTATTTTTTATTTTGGATTTTAAGTCTTAATTTGAAAGGGTTTACCCATTTCAAAGTTATAAAAACAACCTCCCAATGTTTCTCCTGGTACTTTAACGCTTTCATTTTATAAACTTGTCTTTGATGTATCTGGCATTTGTCCTGATATCGAATAAAAACTGTGAGGTGGAGATCCAACTTTGTTTCCAGACATTTAGTGAGTTGTCTCAATTCCATATGTTGAATAGTTCCTATCTTTTCCTTATTGACTGAAATACCACCCTATTACACAGTGGTGCTAGATCTCTACACGCATTTGGATTTATTTCTGTACTCTTCAGTCCATAATATTGCTCTATACCACACTTTTTTAACTTATAGGCTTA